AATGTATTAATTTTAGTTAGTTGGTTATGTATTTTTTAAATAAAAAAAATTTTTGAATTTACTTACTTGTAGCCGGAATTAGAGCGGTCGGATACTTATGACCGCTACTGTACACCATTTTAATATCCTTATTTCTTATGAAGAAAGCTCTGAAGATGATGAGGATAATTCAGACCTTACACCCTATAATTTTAATGTTGAACTTCTTCCAAAACCTTACAAAATCACTGCTGGTCTCATTAATGAAGTAACCTTTTTGAAGAAGCATCAAAAAAATGAGAATGATGACAAAAGTGAGGTATAGATAAGGAAATTCAACAGAAGAAATGAGCAAAGGAAAACTGGGAGCGAGAGATTCGAACTAAAAGAGCTTATGGTAAAATAACAGTGCAGGAACGGAAACACATTCGTGCCCATATTCAGCTTCTTTCTAATTCACCAAAACCTACTCTAATCCACTATATTGGGCAAACGAACTCCTTTCAGTCATGACACCAGAACTGGTTCCCCTAATTCCATTCGAGATGAATGAATATGAAGTCTACTCAAACAGCTAAATTTTGACGAAGTCAAAAAGTCAATTTGGGTCAGATGCATCTGAATATGATTTTAATAGCTAACTATAATTGCCTGGAAAAACTAGTCTTAGTTAATAAGACATAATGAAGTTTGATTGTTTTGCCAATAAGTTTTTTTAGTGACCAACGTCAAAACCCACGTGGCAATTATATATGGCAAAATCTCCCATAGGATAACGTTATCAGATAACGTCACCATCATATGTCGAATTATCACGAAAAATGTGTAAAAAAAAATTAATTATTTTTGAATTCACCACCAAATTAAAATGGCATTTTAAGTTTGTATTAACCAATTTTTTATAATATCAAGCCATTATAAAAAGTAAATTCAACTAATATTTTTGGAATACCAAATCAATTATAAACTTAAAAATTTATTTATTTATAATATAAAATACATCATTGTATAATTAATGACATCCACTTCGTACAAAATAAACATTATTGATTTTGCATTCTTTAATAACACCCAACTTTTTATACTTCTCGATGATTTCGTTAACTTCTACATCTACTTCCGAATCATATAAATTCGTAATAATAGTCAAAGTGAGAGGGATACACGGTACACGATTCGCCCACCTTTCAAAAATAGACATTAACCCCCAATGAGATGGAGGTTCCGGAAAAATGTAATGACCAAAATCTAATTTTAATTCATGAAACCTTTCAGGTGAACAATCTACGATGGTCTTTAATAATAATCTCTCGGATAAACTGCCATGATAACCACAAAAGATGTCAATGCTCTCTAATTGTTGACAATTATTCAAAACATCTTTTAATGGTTCCAACCTATTAATCATGGTGATTAACGACTTCAGATTTGGACAAAATTTGGATATGGTAAAATGTAATGAACCATTCCCAAGCTTGCCAAGGTCGATTACTTTTAAATTCTTTCCATTTTTTTCCAAGAATTTGATCAAGTATTTAGAATTAGGATATTTACGTTTAAATTCCAAGATTTGCAAATGTGGAAGTTCAAGGTGTTGAATACCTTCAAAGTCCTCGTTATCACATGATAAGACAAGTTCTTGTAAATTTGTGAGCTTGTGGATGATAGTTGACAATGGTAGGTAATCTCCGTCAATGTGCAACTTTGTTAACGTATTAGGAAGTCTTGTTAGCGATCGAGTTAAATCTAAATCCTCGTCAAAATATTTTTTTAACACGTCAAAATGCCTTAAATTTTTTTGAACGGTGATCAAGTCGGTCAATCCATTTGAGATGGATCTCTCAAAAGTTATCTTTAACGATTGGAGGTTGTGACATATTCGAGATAACTGATGAAAGAATTCGGAAGAGATATTTGAACTACATGTAAATTCCGAGAGATTCCTTAAGCATTCCACCGCCCCAGGATAGGTGGAGATTGAAACGGAACCGGAATAAAAGGATAAACTTTTCAAAGAGATTTGATTCATAAGCATTTTAAATATTTCTCGTGTCATTACCATGATTTTATTTTTATCGACCCATTGTGGGGTAATAAGTTGACGATATCCAAGGAAATTTTCAATTGCTTCACCAACATCATTAACCGAAAGACAGTTGATAAATGTTATGTAGTTAAATAATGGTGGTCTTGATGTTGAAATGATGATTTCATTCGCTTGTAAGATCTCTTTGGAATCATTAGGAAGACAAGCGATTAAAGTATTGAAATTTTGAATGGTTCTCCATAAAATTCGCACGGAAATAACATTCCAAAGACTGTTTACTAACAAGCATGTACGCAAATCCTTATTTTCTAGATGTTCAAAAATATCATTTAAACAGTCAGTAGGAAGGTGACGAGGCATTTGTTTTTAAGATAAATGAAATAACGTGTGAATTTATTGAGAAGTAAAATATGTTTAAACAAAAAAAGGAATTCATTGACGGTTGATATTTAGGTAGCGATCGTCTTTTAGCACATGCCACAGATAAGGTTTTTTATTTGGGAATATTTATAGAATAATGCATTATGCAAAGACGACAGAAATTCTTAAAAAAAAAACTTTAAATTTTATTTTCTTATATTGATAACGAAATTAAAATTAAATACCATCATTAGCAAACAGAAAATCGGAAATTAAATTGTGGTGATAAATTCATACTCAAAAAATCTACTTCAAATATAAATTTAAAAAATTTATTTTATCAATTTTCTTTTATTTTAATGTTTGGTACCAAATTATTAGATATAGACGACATTTATCTTTGTAAAATATGATTGATTTTAACGAATCCCGAGTTTCTATAGGAAGAGAAACATTGCGTCCATGTATTTTTAGTTAAAGTCTTTATATTGTTTAGGCCTCTATTTATTTATTTATTTTATTATCGTTATAGTAAAATGATTCTTATTTTTGGAATATTTTATTATTTAATCGCTATGATCCGCTTTTGATCTTGACCACTTTCAACATTTTTATTTGTAGTAAAGTATATGTTAATAAATTTATCTTTTCTTTTCTAAAAAAGGTTTAACATGATAATACCTTATTTTGTAGAATTGAATGTTCTGGGATACTAATTGATTTCAATAGATGATAGTTTATTTTTTTTATGGACGTGTTGTGTCATCTCTGTATTATGAAAATCGATAATATTTTAAAGATTCGAATTCATGAAATATTGATTTTTGGCAAAATTAATTTAGGAAAGAATAACATTCCTCGTCTGAGAACTTTTCATTAAAAACGAGTGAAAAAGTCGGCAATAGATATTTTGACAATGCTGCAACCAAAAAAAAAG